TAATTTTTAGAAGTCAAGGAACATTATATTAAAAAAAATGGGTCAAATATTGCGCAATTCAAATCAATTGAGATATAATTGTTTAACACAAATTTGTACACTCCACCAAACTTTGAGACTATGATGATGAATAACTTGGACTACAAGTCATTATACAACATTAACTACTCTAATACCAATCTTTGATTTCTCTTGTTTAGACCACAGTTTTAAGTGATGAAGGCATGTGCGGTTGTAGATTATGATTGGTTTAGAAATACATAAAATGGACAAAAAAAAACTGGAAGCACACGAGTGCAATTAGGGCTTGTTTGGTTCAATTCTGGGGCTTTTCAACTTTAACTTTTTTTAAAGTCCCAATCGTTTTTTGGTAGTCTTTTTAGCATTTTAGGCCTCTTTTGGGAACATGTTTTTTTTAGTAATTTTTTGACTTTTTAGTTAAAATAGATGTAAAAAAAACTAATATGTTTGAGATAACTTTTTAACTTTTTACGAAAAGATGTACAAAAAAATAGAGTGAAAAATGAATTTTTAACTTTTTTGTATGAATTATTAGTTTTTTAATTTTTTTAGTGATTTTTTAATTTTTTTAACTAAAAATATCACTTATCAAACGAGGCCTTAAACTCAATTTTTTAACCTGAAAATCTAAAAAACAAGTAACCCAAAAGGTTTCGACTTTTCCACGCATAACACAATAGGAATAAATATTTTAACACTTTTCTCAGTATAAGAAAGAAAATGCGCCATCACCAACAACCCTTTCTTTACCAACCAGTGGTCATCCGTGCGATGCATAGAATTTTAAAAAGTCAGTAATTATTAAAAAAAAATTGTTATTTGTTTATATTTCTTAATATTTTTATTTGATTTGTGTATATAAATCTTATTTCACATCATTAAAAATATTTAATATTTCACATTATTGAAAATTTTAAAAAAGTATCATACATTAATAAATCATCACATATATAGTAGCTAATTTATCTAAGAATTACATCAGAAAATCAAAAGTAGAGTAACAAAGGCATATTATAATCAATCAAAATGACTAATATATTAAATAAAAGTAACACTAATTTTGCTTAATCAATAGTAGATATACAGTAATCATCTCATATAATATAATAAATTAAAATAAAATTAATTTTAATTTCCATTATATTTAGTTAGTGGGTGGTTAAAATTTTTTACATGCTATTTGTTTTTTCGTTATATTGATTCATTAAACACAAATAGGTTTGGAATGATTATAAAAAAAATTTTAAAAAAAATGTTTGAAAATGCATTATACTTGAATTGACAAACATAAAGAATATAAATATTTAAATTATTCAAAAAAAAATTAACATTTTAAATATGAGATATCTTTCATTTGCTCAAACTCTGAATCTAAATAAATAAATAAATAATTTAAACAAAGAAGAAATTTGTGGTTAGGTTCTCAAAGGAAATGAGTTACTAAAAATAAATTTAATCATGAATTATTTCAATAGGATAATCAACAATAAAAAATCAACTGATGAATACATTTAAAGTATCATCCATATCCAATAAATTTTGATTCTTCATTTTCAATCTAACATCTACACCAAAAAAAAAAAAAAAATTAAACAATAATCAATAAGTGAGAGAGTTACAAATTGATAATAGCAGTGCTTTTATAAATATAAAAAAAGAATAAAATCTCAATTAAATGACAAATTATTAACAAAAAGAAAGAAATAAGGAAAAATACAGATTGTAACAAAAAAAAATTTAAAATAATAATGTTCATTTATATGAACTCACTTTCTTACAAATGCAAAAACTCATGCAAATACACATTTCAAATGTAAAGCAAATATTTAAGATTTTTAGGCACCGAAAAGGGATCAGAAATGGCTCAATGTTGATTGTTTTCTCCCCAATTTTCTGTTCATGGTTTCTTTTGTAGGAACTAGTTTTTATATTAAAAAGATTATGTTTAAACAAAAGATATATATGGAATTCTATCATGTTTAAAATTTGTATGGATAAGTAATTGATGATTTTAAAAGATAAAATATTAAGTTCCACTTAAAGATAAACTTTAAAAAGATTAAGTTAAAATATATAGAAATTCTATAACAAACTAACAAAAGATAAATATAGATCGTTAAAAAAATTATCATCTTTTTGGGATATTTATATCCCAATCTTATTCTTTTTTTTATTTAAATATTTTGTTATCTTTTAGGGCAGAATCTACAAAGGAAGACAACTATTAGTTCGGCTGAAAAATTGAAAACCGAAATATTGTAAAGTACACAAGAAAACCGAAGTAATTATACCAGGTGTTCCTTTTTTCCAATTGATGCTTCGGCCAGGAATCTGGGCTTGGTTGTCCTCAAAGTTCCCAGACACCTAGAAAAAATCGTCGTTATTCAAGTCTTTATCCGGTGTGTTTTTTATTATTTTCTCACGACGACGTCGTATTCTAAGATAGTACACCCAGTCGTCTTCCTTCGAACCAATGGAGTATTGGTGAAAGATTTCGGCCAGACCGAGGTTGAGACCGGATTGAC